AGTGTATGACACTCATCTAAGAATCTTATTTGTAGTCAACCCAACCGGATCATCTGCGGATCCTTTTGGTGAGGGTCCTACGGATCCGTAAATCGTGTCCATTCATCGTACATCATACGGTCAGTTTTTCTGAGGTACTGTTTGTATTTAATTTTAAACAAAAATATTTAAAATGATTTCTGACCACACGATGTACGATAAAAAGACATAATTCCCCAATCTCCGAGATCCTCACAAAGAGGATCCGGATTCGGAGTTTATGATAAAGGTGAACTAATGTGTTGTAAATACAATTCATTTGGAGTTTGCATAAGTGTAAAATCTACATCCTATAAATACTCAAAACTGCTCCAACACAATCAGGATTTGGTCCAACAGGTGAACAACCAACCCTCCAAGATAGATGGAAGTTGGCTACTATTAGGGGTGGGCACGGCGGTTTTGAGTATCAAGGGGGAGGAGGACATGGATTTGGCAACGGCGGTGATCATAAAGGGGGTTTGAGCATTTCCATTGACGATTATGATTTGAGCATTTCCATTGACGATTATGATCTCCAAATCTAATTAGTGTCAATCTCTGTCAAATTTATACGGTTTTTATCACATCACCAATTTACATTAAGAAAATTAAGGGAGATAATTTGAATTTGAGACGCAATGCAATTGAGGAGGAAGGACCTAACTAGCAGGCCCATTCACCTTTTGTAGTCAACTTATATGGTTTTGGTCTAGGTATGTTTTAGCAATGTCAGCATATATTTGTAACTAAAATTATGCACGTGTCTGTATATAGGGGTAGATTTTGTTGAATATATATGCAGCAGTCTATCACACTCATCTGAGAATCTTATTTGGAGTCAACCCAACAGGATCATCTCCGGATCTTTTTGGTGAGAATCCTACGGATCCGTGAATTATGTATGTTCATCGTATATCGTGCGATCAGTTTTTGTCAGTACTATTTGTGTTTAGTTTTAAATAAAAGTATTTAAAATGATTTCTGGCTGTACGATATACGATAAATGATTACGATTCACGGATCCCTAGGATCCTCACAAAGAGAATCCCGACTCAAAGTCAACAGGTTATGATAAAGGTGAACTAATGTGTTGTAAAGACAATTCATTTGGAGTTTGCATACATGTAAAATCTACATCCTATAAATACTCAAAACTGCTCCAACACGATCAGGATTTGGTGCAACAGGTGAACAACCAACCCTCCAAGATAGATGGAAGTTGGCTACAATTAGGGATGGGCACGGTTCAGTTCAATACAGTTTTGAGTGAAACCGCAATTGAAACCATAACTTTTTGCGGTGCGGTTTAGTGCGGGTTTGAAGCCAAAATCAAAATGAAACCAAACCATTTGGTTCGGTTGGGTGCGATTTCAAACATTTTCGGTTCAATTTTTGGGAAAAAATATACAACGCATAAGACGGTCTCATTTTCCACAATACATTAATTAATAAACTTGTAGATTGTGTTCGAGCAATTGTCATTATCAAACAATTCCAAAAACAGCAAGGGTGAAGGGTCTAATCTTACCGAAAACTAGGGGCTTATTTCATCCAATCACAATGTAATTTTCAATGTCTACATACTTTAATTCTTTAAATGTTTAGTATAACTTGCAAATATTTCTTGTTCCATGTCATATAAAAGGCTGAGTACATCTTTCATTTACATAGTATTTCTTTTTCCATCTTTCAAAATCTGGAGATCAAAATAATAGTGACTATGACATGGATTTTTTCTTTTTTTTTTTTAGCCTAGTGTTGAAGAACGATGGTTTATTCAAAACGAAAGAAGCACCAAAGGTAAAAAATTAGGAAACGGATGACATTCTAATGTGGTTGAGTCCATACTAAATGTATGGAGTCTAACAAACAACCAATTAAAACATGACATCAAATTGAGGTGCAGTTTCGGTTTTGGTATAGTTTTCAAAAGCCAAAACTGAAACCAAACTGCTTCCTACATTGCAGTTCGGTTTTAAAACAGCAAAACCAAACCATTCGGTGCAGTCCAATTTGGTTTGTGTTTTGGTTTCAATTTTCGATTTCAAGTGCCCATCCCTAGCTACCATTGCATCCAAATAAATGAATTTCCTGCTCACAAAGAAAGTGCTCTACGTTCTGGGTCTATCACCATTGGAATATAAAGGTCTCTATGTGAGTAGAAGAGTTCTTTTGACAACCACGATGGCTTCGAGAGGTAAGTCTACATCGCATTATGATTTTTTTTTTTTTGGTCAAACGATAGATTTTATCAAATTGGATGTTAGATTAGTCACTAGCGGGATTTGAACCCAAGCCGTCATGCAAGGGCTCAACACATTTCCACCACTGTGGTAAATGACCACTTGCATCACATTGTGATGTTGGGTAAAATGTTAATTCTTAGGTTAGTTCCAACAACTCACTGTAAGACTCTAAGAATGCGTCTATTGCACCGAATTATCTCGGATTAGACTAGTTTCAGGGATTAAGCTGAACTGGCTTAGATTATACTAAGTTGGACTAACTTAGTGAAACGTTTGGTACAATGTCAGACTAAGAAACTCGATGATAACAAATTCTAATATTATATTATTTAATCTAATACATATTAATATTTTGTTATCTAGTCTCTTTTTTTTTTTCTTAAATTCTCTTCGTCTCTCCCGAAAATTCATTCCGCACATGCAGATCATTCAAACAATTGTAGAGCAAATCAAATGCCAATTCCAGGTCACATCAAACCCAGTTTCGAAATCAAAACACAATTTAAGTCAAAACCAAATGAAAACAAGAATCCTAAGCCGCTGCCCTTGATGGAGAACACGCCCTTGTTACCTAATCCAGCCAACGTCTTCTTTGCCATCATAGGCTTCGGCATTCTTGGCCTCCCATATTCCTTCAAGCGCACTGGGTGGCTCACCCACCACTGGGTTCACAAGATCTCGTCAATTATGCGAAGCCCACAAGTCCGAGGTCGAGTTCGAAGAGCAACGAAGCAAACGGTTAGAGCTGGACGGACGACGGTAAGAGCGGGATCTCCCTCAGTTCGAAATTCTAGGTCGGGGTGAGGAAAGAGGCAGATAGTGGTGGTGGGCTAGTGGTGTGATTTCCCTGGAGTTGGCAAGTTATGGTGTGATGGTGGCTATTGATGTTCAAGAGAACAAAGAGCAGAGAAATGATGAGATAGAGCAGACGAGGTCTTGCCAATCCCATGGGTATCTCGCTAAGAACTCCTAGCGAAGTAGTTTGTCTATGCGAGTCCCCTTTAGTCTCATTAAACATAGTCCCACTACGGAACAAGCACGCCAATGTAGTCTAGTGACACTTAGTAGGGGCAAACAACGCCCCCTAAGGATGCGTTTGTTACGTGTCACTTCAGAAATCGCATCCCAACATATCTTGAAGAGAAGTATTGAAGAGATTAGAGATAGTGGATATAAAGCATCTTGAAGACATTGGGGCGTTTACAATTGAATTGATCACTTCCGAAAGGTGTTCAGTTGTGACTTTATCAACAACTCTTTCCAGCCTTCTCCATACCTTTATCTGAACCATGTCTCGACATTGATCGTAGCTATCTTGCACAACAGCTACAAACAAATTAATCACACATCTTGAAGAGATTGGAGTTGTTGCAATTGAATCGTGGCAGATGGTTGGATTCCATTCAAGACATTGGAGCGGTGGTTGGTGTTTTTTAGAAGCAGACAAAGTAACAATTTTCAAAATACGGAGCAGAGAATAAATTTTGTGTTAATGGAATGAAATAAAATGACATATCAAAAGGAGTAATTCCATTAACACAAAAGCTATTCTCTATGCATTTTATGTCAACTATTTTTGTGTTGAGTCCTTGCACAACGATGTCGGTGACTAATCTAACAAAATTTATCATTTGACAAAAAAAAAAAAAATTGTAAAAGTGAGTTAAAAATAGAAAAGTATTTTAATTTGCAGCTTTAATCTAGCATTGCACCAAATACTTTACTATTCTTATCATGCTTACTCCAATTCAAGCCAGTCCAGTGTTATCACTAGAGTTAGTTCAACTTGAAATAATCCAGTACAATAAATGTACCCTAATTCTATGCCCAAGAAATGGAAACAGACAGGTAACAATACCACGTTGACCTCCCAAAAAAGGAGTTACGTTGCATTATTATACTTTATGATATTGAAAAAAACATAAGTTGGATTTGACACCTCACATACAAGGTGTGAATACAAAATCCAATTGAGCTACAATCTAAGAAAGGAAAAGAAGGTAAACCGCGATTTTTTATTTTTTGATACAAAAGATAAAAAGGAAACGAAAAACAAATTCAAAATCTCGTGTGCAGTGCGTGAATTCACCTAACCAATTGAATTTACAAATAATGACCAAATGACGGTTCACATACTTTGAATTCAACGATCCTCCATGGGAAAAAGGCAAGTCTCCTATGATGATTTCGAGCCCAATTAACACTTCATCAACATATTTTATTATGAATTTCTAAACCATGTTTTGGTGCTGCAAATTGAACGTAGATATTAGATCCAACAGCAACCCCAGAACAATGGAGCAATTTTCTATGCAACCGGTGACACTATGTGACAACTATTTAACGAACAAACGATGTACTATTTAAATTCATTACAATCACGGGCTAGAGTGGAGAAGCACATGTTTGGAACGATGTTTGGCCGGAACATAGCTTCAAGATTGTTTCTCGATCTGCTGATTTCCTTCAACATCCAGCTCCCGAGTTCGGAGGATCAGTTGCTGGAAATCTCTTCAGCTTTTAAGGAAAAGGCAGAGCATAGATGTACATGTTTGCACTGACTTCCATTTTATGTTGGTCGTATACGGTTTGATTACAATCATCTATGCAATTTATGTGTTAGTGTTGCATTTTCACGTATGTACACAAAAGGGGTAATTCAGCCGAAGACGTTTTACACTCATGGAATCTGTTCTTCCATGCTTACTATGATGACCCAAGGGAAAACAAAAATGAAATTTCAAAGAACTAGTCAAGAGAAACCAGCTTACCCGCTTGTTTATCGAGTTTGAACTCCGCCAGTTTTCGTAACAAAATCTTGTTCGAAATAATCAAGGAAGAAAAGCAAGTACCAAAAAACTTGAATTTTTCTTCTGAGCTGAATCAAAACTTAAAAATTGAAAACAAAACGGCATCCCTCACCACCCTACGAGTAGGAGTTTCAAGAGAGCCATCCTTATATATAGGCCGTTCTTTGCTTGTCTGAAATAGGCAGCTCGTGTATCCCCATCAACATCCACGGTAATCTGCACGACATTCAGAGAAAATGGAAATTAAGAATACTGAAATCACATGAGTACCTCGTCAAGTCTAGGCAGAGGGTGCATGACCACAGCGTGCTTCTGCATCACCTCTAACACACGACTATCCACAATGTACTTGCCTCGAGCTTCTTCATAGAGGTCAATTCTCTCTCCAAATCGTTCACGCTGAATGCGAGTTTGATACACAACATCACACTTCGAAGCAACTTCCATTAAGTCCGCACTTTCTTCCCACTGAATGTTCCTTGATGTCAAATAATCTTTTATATCATTCTGGAACAGGAAATATAAAAAAGATAAGACTCCGATATCTTAGATTCCTCGTAGTCCCCACACTTCCTGAATTACTAAGGTTTATATAAATCAAAAAAAGGAAAATGCGCAAAATAATGCAAGTACGATTTTGGACTTTACCTTCATCTTTACCACATCAGGAGAGACAAAGTAGATCTTCACATCGTTATACCTGGCGAGCAAGTATGCAAGTGAGCGCACTGTCCTTCCGTTAGCAAGATCTCCAACAAGTGCAACTTTAATACCATCCAGTTTTCCTATCTCTCTTTCAATAGTATAGACATCTAAAAGAGCCTGTGGAAGAAAAAACAGAACTTTTAACACAACAGATTGTAGAACTTCTAGCAGCCAAACATAAATCGGAAAATAATAAGACCAATGCAAGCGCCGTAAACATGAGATATGATCATTATGCTACCAGCCACATCTGTAATTGACATTACAAAACCTCAGCATTTACGTTATAAAACCGTAGTTCTGTACTTTTAGTTTTTAAATTCACAGTTTTCAGTTGGGAAGACTAAAACAACGGCACAGAGTTCTCTAGTACGGGATAATGTACAAATGGAACAGACATCTGAGCAAGTCAATTATAAACGAATATCCCTCCCGAGGCTGGCCCACAAGAATCCATCTGAGGATTAGAACTTTGGTGTTTTAAGTTTTAACAATCCCTTATCTATCTTTTCGATGGTACAATTCCCTCTTCTGTATTAAAAACTTGTGCGATACCTGAGTTGGGTGTTGTCCAGGACCATCTCCTGCATTGATGACAGGAATGCCAGCAGTTGCAGCAGCTCTTTTGGCTGCACCGCTCTCAAAGTGCCGCATCACAATTATATCCGAGTAACCCTCAACAGTTCTTATAGTATCTGTAAGTCAATCAATCAATCAATCAATCCCCCATTACATCACGATTCACGACCAAATTGTAGCAAGTAAAAACCATCTCCAGTACGTGAATGGAAATGGAAGGAGATATGCAAACCTTCGAGGGTTTCTCCTTTAGCTGCCGAAGAGAACTCTCTTGCATTTTCAGTTGTCAAGACCTCGCCCCCTAACCGCCTCATTGCCGACTCAAAGGAAAGCCTAGTCCTCGTGGACGGCTCGTAGAAGAGAGTAGCCATAAGATAACCTTTCAGAATTTGACTTCCTGGTGACTTCTTCTCAATCTTCTCCATCTCTCGTGCAACATCAAATATCGCTCCGAGAAGATCTCTGTCGAATTGCTGAGCCTCAATCACATCAGTAACTTGAAATTCCTTCCCCACCGAATAGGAGGAAGATGATTTGTCAACTTCCAATGCCCGGCAAGAAACCGTCCCGTTATTTTGTGACGATCTCTTCAGGTGCATTGGTTGTTTGTAGACAAAGTTTGAAGAACTAGCGCATAACTTTGTGCTCTGAAACGACATGACCCCTTGGAACGAAGACGATGAAAATAGCGACGATGAAGCAGCCATCTCAATATCTACAAAATTTCAAGCCTCTGTACAAATATATAAACAAGAAGAAACTGGAAAATTAACTTCGAATCATAAAGTATTCATTTTTTTCAGTGTTACGTAGTACTCAATGATACGAAAAATAAATATAATTTTGAAGATCAAATCTAACCCCTAACTCTGAATGCTGCGTACCATTAAAGCCGGACCCTAAATTAATAGAAAAAACAAAAACCCAAGAAACCCAAAATTTAATGCGCGAAGAAATTTAAATAGGAAAAAGCACAATCTAAATACTCCAGAAAATGTTCATCATATGGTTATTACAATGAACAACGGATGAGAGTTTGGTACCTTATCCGAGGAGGCCGGTTAAACGGAAGATGAAATGAGAGGGGACAGTGGGTGGATTCTGGGGAGGAGGTTAGTGGAGCTGGCGTCGACCTCTGGTCTGAGCTAGTGGTGGCGGCGGCGCTGCTGCAGAGGCTAAATAAGGCGAGAGGAAGAGAGGGAGTTGGTGGAAGTGGTGCGTTTTGGGCTTTCTTACTTTAATTGGAACGCTGGGCTTCGATTTCGGTCTCCTCGGCTTGCGCTTGTGGTATGTTTTTGTGAGCCCTTTTCTTGTGAAGAAATAAAAAACTACTAAAATAAAGACGCAAAATCTTGTCATCTAGGAAACCACCCCTCAAATTTATCATCTTTTCACAAAATTCTCTGATATTTTAAAATTTTGGTTAACATTTCTCATGTTTTACTTGCATGACTTATAAGTAAGTTAGGTCACTCATTATATTATTAATTAGTTTTATGGTAGAACATCAACTTATCCTAAAAATTCGCTGCCGTCTTATTTTTCCTTGCATCTTCCTAATGTTCTCCGTAGTCAACGGAACATAATATCAATTTTATTGTAGATTCCTATCACATATGAATTTTCTCAAACCCTCTATATTGTAAACATTATACACGAGTAATTCAAATAATTATATTTTTACATGATATCAGAGTAGGTTATCCCTATATGAAGCCTAACAACCATACGTGATTTAAACTGTTTATGCATGTTGCAAATTGTACCATCGAATTGGATTCCAACCTCCTCATTAATTGTCTTACTTCATGTAATCCTTCTTGAAGAATTCAAATAAATGAAAGTCGCTAGGAGAGAATTTTTTAGTATGTCAGCACACTGCCTGCCATACCAAGTACAATAATATATTAGTTAAAAGGAAAAAAAAAAAAAAAACTTACAACTAATTGTAATATGACACCTTGAATACAAAATTATGTTTCTAGCAGACTAAGAATATCTCGGTCGTTAACACTTCAGCTTTTAAGTTTGATTGCATTTCCTATATTTATATTTTAGAGAAGCTAATTTTGTTGCAAATCAACTGACAGACAGACTTTCTTCGAATTGCGTTTGGCTTATTTCTCTTCCTCTGGTGTAAGGAATGCCTTGCACTTTGATAACCTTTTTAATGGTTGCCCTAGGGCAGTTTATTTTATTTATTTTAATCTTTAAGAAGGAAAGATAACCAAGTGAAGAGAACAGGTGTCCTGACCATGGTGCTACATCTGAGCAAATGGCAAGTTGGAGCAGCACGCTAACTCATGCAGGAAATTCCAAAAACCCTTCCATTCGTCACCACAAGAGCTTGCCATCAACACGTGACGTGCCCTCCTTGCATGTAATGATAATGTGAGTTGAAGTTGATCATCTCTGCCACTACCACTGCCCACTGTATTATTTCAAACTCATCAACTCCTCTCTCTCGATCTTATCTATTCCCATCTGAATTTGATCGATCACATTTCGGACCATCATCAGTTACGTACCCAAAAAAAAGCAAAGCTGTTGTGTGTTTAATTAGGGTTAGTTAACGCTTTTTGAGAACCGAACCGATGGATTTGTTTAACTCGGTGTTGAATTGGGTGGTGCCACCGGCAAGTTTATTGATGCTGGCGTTTGCTTGGCCAGCGTTGACCTTCGTCACTGGTTGTGAGTGGCTTTACAATTTGTTCAACAGTGAAATTGTCGAAGATAAGGTTGTTATAATTACAGGAGCTTCTTCTGGCATAGGAGAGGTAATTATAAGTCCCCTATTTCCAAATATAATTTTATCCATTAATTTTGAAGTTCATATTGTTTCAAGCAAGGTTTTAAATATCGGTTTTTATGGAAAATACCGACAGTGATATTTGATACTGATATCGCTAACCGTTAGATGAAAATGATGGAAAATTGCCCAAAACATAAAGTTTTTTACTCTGAAACTTTAGCAAATGTTTAATTACTTAACAATGCATGTATATTACATATTAATTTTCTAAAACACAATTCAGATTGTGTAAGTGTATGATAGGTAAGAGGATACAATACCGGAACATAATCACTAATACGTTGATAGTTTGATAAAAGTTGTTATATATGTATGTGTGTGTGTATGTGTGTGATGTAGCACGAGGGTTGTGATTGCAGCAAATTGCATATGAATATGCGAAGAGAAGAGCAAATCTTGTACTAGTGGCACGAAGACAGAACAGACTGCGAGTGATCAGTGAGAATGCAAGGCGTATGGGTGCAAAGTATGTCATGATTATAGCCGCCGATGTTGTCAAGGAAGAGGAATGTAGGCGTTTCATCAGTGAAACGATGAGCTTCTATGGCCGAGGTATGCGCCAGGGACAAATTTGATTATTTAGAAAGCCGTAGTTTTAAAAACAAAAGTTGTACACTTGAAAGGTCATAATTAAGCATGACAGAGACGGACTAGTGGACTGCAGATTAATTCAATTAAGTAGAGTATTTATGTACATTTGAACATTTTTCACAGTAACCTACAACTACGAAAGCTACAGACACATGCCGAGGAGTTAAGATCGAACTTTAGCTAGTACAGAATTAGATGTGAAGCTTTATAGGATATACCAGTACTCCAACCCTAATTTGGTTGTGGACTTTTAATTTCTTAGATATATTTGTTTGTCTAGAGAGTGCAACTGTTTGACATCTGACGTCTATTGATAAACCTCATGGGTTAATTAAGCACATATATATATGAAGGAGTTGTATTTATTAGTAGCAGTTGCTGGAATATGGCTAAAATAAATGATTTATTGTAAGCTGATGATAGATAGTGGTGCTTGTTTTAAGTTGATTTCCTACTAAACCGAAAAAAGAAAAATGCTCTATAGTTGCACTCCGCATGATTTTGCTAGCAGGAATGCAAGTGAATGAATCCTATCCCCTAGCGAGTGAAGTGCTTACGCCCCTTTTTCTCAAGGGGTGCGCTTGCGCATTAATAATATAACGGAAAGGTTAGGGAGAAGAGCTTGCTGTCACGAGCCTTCACTGTCCCGTTCTGTAACTTCCCTTCTTTTGTTTAATACTAACCTAGTAACTATTTCTTACATAATCTCTCCATGAGAAGAATTTTGTGCCTTCACTGCTGCCATGATGTTAATTCTGAAACTAAAGTAGTTATTTTGATTTGTCTCTAATTTTGCAGTGGATCACCTTGTAAATACAGTAAGTCTAGGACATACATTCTACTTCGAGGAAGTTACAGACACGTCTGTCTTTCCCCAATTGCTGGTAAGGATTGCAAAGTTGCATGAGCAGAAGTCCAAAAGTTTGCACTACATTTTTAATACAAACTTATATTTCTTATGAGGCAAATTCTCTATCAATGAGGTATTGCGGTTCTGAATATCATTGGTCTCAGGATATAAATTTCTGGGGGAATGTTTATCCAACATATGTTGCTCTTCCTTACCTACGTCAAACTAATGGAAAGATCATTGTCAATGCATCAGTTGAGAGCTGGTTACCTCTGCCGAGAATGAGTTTATATGCTGTGAGTATATATTACTTAATCCTTTCATATTATTATGGGAATATTGATCAAGTATATTCAACATTTTAGAAGGAGAAATATACATGGAACTAGAATCGTATACGTCATCATCAAATTAGAATTACCCAGTGATTAGGATGCATTCCATGACCTGTCAAACTTTCTTGTAAAACTTATTTAGGACCAGTTTTTGTAGTCGAAGTTAACTATATCAAAGAGCTAGCAAGCATCAATTTATTACTATCCTTTTGTTGTGTTTGAATTACCAGGCGGCAAAGGCAGCTCTGGTTAACTTTTATGAGACCTTGAGATTAGAAGTAAACCATGAGGTAGGGATAACAATTGCAACTCACGGGTGGATTGGAAGTGAAATGACAAGAGGCAAGTTCATGCTAGAGGAGGGGGCTGAAATGCAGTGGAAAGAAGAGAGGGAGGTAAGAGCTACTGATTGATCGATGGTATTGCTTTTCATTAAGTTGGCCCAACGAGGCATTGCACTAATGCTGGTTGGAATGATTTTTCGTACCCGGAGCAGACAAATTAATTGCTTAATTTTTTTTATTAAGAAAAAGTACCTCAAATGTGCTATATATATCTCTATTCATTCCAATCAGTGGGACATTTATATTGTCGTAGGTACATGTGACCGGTGGGCCTGTGGAGGATTTTGCAAGGTTGATTGTAGCTGGGGCTTGTCGAGGAGATTCATACGTTAAGTATCCAAGTTGGTATGACATATTCCTGCTGTACAGGGTGTTTGCGCCTAAGGTCCTGAATTGGACATTCCGCCTCGTTCTTCCAACGCACGGTGGAAGGAGGACTTCCCTTGTGGGCACCGGAAGGCCTATTTCAGAAGGCTATGGGAGGCCTTTGCTGGAAGGCACTCCTCCAAGGAGACTTATTGGTCCCAACACAGTTTCCCAACAGAGTCCCCCGCGTCAGATAAAAATGGAATGAAATTTATAGCATTTCTAGGGAAGTAGCTATTTTAGTAACATGTTCTAAGAAGTTATGGTTGTTGAACTTGTGTTTTTTTTAGCTGTCACGGAGATTTTGAACTGTTAAACAAAGTTATTGCATTCGATATGTGTTGTTCATGTAATAAGCTCCCATATTAATAAATTCCGTAGCTGACCCCCTGTGAACATGTGGCCTAAAGATATTCTTGACAATTTTCGTTACTTATTCACGTTGTGAAATTGATAGGTCATGAAGTGTTTGAAAAGAGTCATTGGTTGATCACTCGACAGTAATCGAAATGTACAGTCCCATTACCATACTGAGTGACCCACGACATTTTGATTTTGTGTGGTAAAAGTAGTCGCATTAATTACCTTACTAAGGTAGGGCGGCGGAAATTGAGTTTGATTCTAATGTTAATTGAACTAAGAGCATTTTAACGACAAGACGCAATAGATTCTTCTTTTTTCTCGTGTTTCTAAAGAGGAACACTTCATGATTCATTGAAAATTACGTCTTCAAATGTCACCAAAGAAAAAAAATTCCTATCTTTGTATTCTCTCATTAGCAAAGATCAATGATTGCTAATTCTTAGGACTTCTACAAATATGAGTGACACGTCGGCCAGTATGTCATAGCTATCCAAACTAAGCAGAAGAAGTGGATAGCCTATTCAGTTTGAGAATAAAAGCAATACAGTATTCTCGATATCAATACTCTTGATCACATTATTTGGTTGATTGTTTATTCATGTTTACTACTTAATATGATTCTCTTGTCTATATGATTACTTTGAATGTGATATGGAACTTACTTCCTAAATCGCATTCATGTGCCATGGCTAGAGACTCTAAACACATCATAAACTATTCTCCCTAAACGGTTTGAAGTTTAGAGATCCATTGTTGTACACTTACATGTCTTTACGAATAAATCAACGACCCTAACAATACTAGGAACATGCCCAAGATGAGGCATGCTCTGTGTTATATCGTCAAATGATCAAAGACATACTCATAAGGCAGCTGTGGTGTCTTAGGTCAAATAACTACTTTGTATATCCCAACTAGTGAGTTTACATATAACATAAGTATGCGAACTCCTGGTTGATCGCGTTCAGTGAACTCATCCTCTATTGAGCACTTACATACTTGCGTTGGTCTCTTTCACACCACTAGCTTGAGACTAGTCACTTGCCAGGGAGAAGACATAGTATGTGCAAATCTATCCGGATTGTCAATGACCAATTGGCAATTCTAAGGTCCCAGGAATTTAACATCTTGAGATCACATTCTCTTTATTACATAAGGAGCATGAGTCATATATTCTGTAGAATGTCGTTCTTGCCAAGGTTGTATTATTATTATTTTTTTTAGCCTATTCAAGTCCAAACCATTATTTCTCTTTAAGGCCTCATTTGGTACCTCGGACTGTACTGACTATTTCAATCGGATATGATAAATAGCCATCGGATAGTACTGACTAAATTAGTATGGCGTTTGGTGCAATACTGGATTAATGATTTTATTTATTTTTCATAAAAAAGTCTCAGGTTTGAATCTGAATTAAGAGTTTGTAACCAATTTATTCTATTCACTCCTTGGTGTATATATAACAAGGAATTCAAAAAGTATGAAAGAAAAAGGTGTAAATATAACAAATGTATTCTCTCCACCCTTTGTGTAAACTTGTAACACTAAGGCCTCATTTGGTATTGATTTTTTCACAAATAGCTGTTTCAATTTAAAGTTAAACAATAAAAAAGTGTTTGGTTAAAAAAAAAATATTATACCTTTTTCTAGCACAATGGCCTCTAGACAGCAACTTTAATTAAAAAATCTAGTGATATTCCTCTTTACTTTTAAGTAAAGATTTAACATTTTGAATTAGTTTCGTTCATGACTCAATGGATGAGGGGAGTTGTTCCTCAAGGTACTTAGTTTTTTATTCATGAAATTTTGTATTAATGATTGAAACCGTTCAAATACTGTGTAAAGATCATATCCAAAAAGATTAATTAAATATGAAATTATTTAGTCATTCAACTATATAAAAACAAATGAATAAAAGTATTATAAACTGTCTATTTATTTGCTACAGCTAATTGATTAAACGATCTTACAGATTTTGTCCAACTTTACGCATGAACTACAAGTAAATCACACACATGCCAAAGGGCTAAGGCAAAAAACATTTAAAACGGATACTAAGTATTAGATTTTATCCAACTTTATGCATGCACTATAGGTCAACAAATATTGTATGTTCCGGACTAATAATTCCAAGTACCAGACTTTAAATTACTAAAGTCAATCCATTCCCACTTGAATTGTGGAAACTTTAATTTCTATAGGGTTTTTATCGCCAATGGTCCCTAAGATTGACCAAACTCATCATTTTGCTCCCTCACTTTCAAAATCAATCAATGTCGTCCCTAACATTCGCCACCGCACATCAATTTGGTCCTTACGTTTAGATTCCGTCAACTATTTCTTTTAGTTTGCATGTGGGACCCATAAATCCAATAAAATGGTGACACGTGGATTACACAAAAGAAGGGTTTTTATCACAAATGGTCCCTGACATTAATCAAACTTCTCATTTTGGTCCCTAAGTTTCAAAAATCAATAAATTTGATCCCTGACTTTCACTACTACACATCAATTTAGTCATTCTGTTAAAATTTTGTCAATATTTTTTGTTAGTGTGATAATATGGTCCTATTAGTCCAATCATATGGCACCACATGGATTAACTAAAATATATATATATATATATATATATATATATATATAAAGATTTAAAACTAAAAGTACTATAAGAAATTAAAAACAAAAGCTAAAAGAAAAAAAAGAGATTAGTTTCTTATAGTTAATCCACTTGGCGCTATATGATTGGACTAGTGGGACTACATCAGCACACTAACAAAAAATATTGACAAAATTTTAAAGGAATGACTCTATTGATGTGCGATAGTGAAAGTCAGGGACCAAATTTATTGATTTTTGAAACTCAGGGACCAAAATGAGGAGTTTGGGGGACCATTTGCGATAAAAACCATTCTTTTGTATAATCCACGTGTCACCATTTTATTGGATTTGTGGATCCCACATACAAACTAACAGAATAATTGATGTGTGGTAGTGAATGTCAGGGACGACATTGATTGACTTTGAAAGTGAGGGTCCAAAATGATGAGTTTGGTCAATCTCAGGGACCATTTGTGATAAAAACCCATTCCTATATAATTAAAGATAGGGGTTTTATCACAAATGGTCCCTAAGATTAACCAAACTCATCATTTTGGTCCCTCATTTTCAAAATCAATCAATGTCGTTCCTGACATTCACTACCTCACATCAATTTAGTTTTTCCGTTAAGATTCCGTCAACTATTTTGTTAGTTTGCAAGTGGGACCCACAAATCCAATAAAATGGTGACACGTGGATTAAACAAAATAAGAGTTTTATCGCAATGGTCCCTAACATTGGTCCAACCCATCATTTTGGTCCCTAAGTTTCAAAAATCGATGAATTTGGTCCATGACTTTCACAATCGCATATCAATTTAGTCATTTCGTTAAAATTTCATCAATATGGCTCTGCGTGGATTAATTGTAAGAAACTATTTTTATTAAGAGTGAACCAACGGACGAGTATTCCGCGCTCACATTTTTGCATCCCACAACACCAATTGGAAGAAAAATTCAATATAAATTCGATAAAATCAAATCCAAATTCAATTCAAAGTTGATAGGATTATAACCAACTAAAGAGAAGGAGGAGTGAGTTCAGGAGGCCAAGTACTTTAGTGGTGTCATGGTGCCTTCCTTTTATTTTTTAGTATACCCTGATGAAGATGACGATGATTTTTTTTCCCCTTTTAGTTTTGGTTTTCAGTCTCTTATTTTACTTTTAGTTTTAAATCTTAAAAAAAAAAAAAAAAGTTTCTTATAGTTAATTCACTTGGCGCCATATGATTGAATTAGTGGGACAAAAAATATTGACGAAACTTGAACGGAAGGATTAAATTGACGTGTGATACTGAAAGTCAGGGACCAAATTTATCGATTTTGAAGCTCAGGAACCAAAATGAGGAGTTGGATCAATGTCAGGGACCATTTGCGATAAAAATCCTTATTTTGTGTAATCCACGTGTCACCATTTTATTGGATTTGTGGGTCCCGCATACGAACTAATAGAATAGTTGATAGAATCTTAACGGAATAACCAAATTGATGTTTGGTAGTGAATGTCAGGGACAAAATTGATTGATTTTGAAAGTTAGGGACCAAAATAATGAGTTTGATCAATCTCAGAAATCATTTGTGATAAAAAAAAAAAACCTTAAAGATATGGCTATGTTTTGGTCACCTGTTGAATTGCCTTAGATAGTTAGTTACTTGTAGGCCCACCTTTGATTGTAGCTTATTTGAGATGAAATTGGAGAAGGAGAACTACTGGTTATTTTTTTGTACAAAGATTTCCACAAGTATTGAATAGTCTATTTTCAATCTTGTCCATTTATTTCGTATCATTCATTACTACGTACTATTGAAGAATTTTCTCATTTCGGGTATTCTCTTTTTAAAATTTGGTTTTCAGTCGCATGGCTTAAAAATCTCCCACCCAAATATACCGTGTCATAGTTTGTCGGTGACATTTATCGATTTTACCAAAGAAAAAATAGCACAGTGGCCTTCATATTGTAGCTTTTAAAAGTTTAGTGGTATTCTTTTTCACTTGTAAATGAATATTTAATATTATGAATTAACTTCGTTCATGACTCAATGAATGAGGGGAGTTCTTCTTCAAGATATTTAGTTTTTAATTCAAGAAATTTCATATTAATGATCGAAACCGTTCAAATACTTTATAAAGATCATATCTAACAAATTTAATAAAATATGAAATCATTTAGTCATTCAACTATATAAAAACAAATGAGTAAAAGCATTACGAACTATCTATTTATTTGTCATAGTTGATTGACTATAT